GCTCTAAGCGATAAATCGGAACCTTGTATTGCGTCTATGGGCACGGAATTCGCGATTTCCTCGGTTAGAAAACCATACCGGGTTTCCGGATTATTCGAAAAGAACCAGTTATTCTGGGCGAAGTCCAGAATCATTCCCGCGGCTTTGATAAAATCTGCGCCTAACAATGTCCGACTATTAACAAATTCAGGGATAGCTAACATGGATGTCTGAATTTCCTTTGACTGGAGGTGAATGACAATGTTAAACTGTTTGGCGATCACGCGTCGTTCATTTCCGTCCGCAAGCTTAATCGTGACATCTTTGTCTATGAATGGCTCTCCACATGAGATTAACAGTTTATACAATTGTGCTCCAGCGATACTGGTTTTAGAACCAGTGTCCAAACATGCTGACCCGTGAAATTGGTGAATTCTGATGGGTAGCATTGGCCGTTCCTGGTCAGTAGTTGAAGAAACGTTCAGCATATTGAATGTCATCATTGAGGACGTTGAACAATGTGATGACTCTTGGCTTTTAGACGTACACTTGGGGCAGGTGCTGCGAATGTAACCGGGACTGCCGCAGCCAAAACATACCAATTTAGGACCTGAATTAGTGGTCGAGTTATTAGCGTCGTTTTGCGCAGGTGGGGCCGACGGACGTGTACGAGAGGCAAACTTCCTGCATTGGGATTTTGTGTGCCCAAAGTTATGACAAAATTCACATTTAGGCCGAGGTTTATTTGGTTTTTCCTCAGGAATAATAGACGGGTTCGATGTCTTGATGAAAGAGCCAGAGTTACTCAGAAAGTTCTCTTCTATCGACCGAGCTTTATTAATTAGCGTGTCGAAATTGTCAACTTGTTCGCGGGGTAAACGTTCCCGAATTCGGCGGTTAAGAAGACCGTATATCATATCGAGTTTATGCTTTTCGTGTAGCTCGGGTTGCCGTGGAAGACGTGCTAACAGTGAGCGAGCATTTGCTACGAATATATCGGTTTGTTCCTGCTCCCCCTGCTCTTTAGAAAATAGTTCGCGATAGATTTTATGTGGCGGTTTATTGAACCCGAAAGCGTGGCGAAGAGATTTCAATGCGTCTTCCCACGTAGAGACTGTATCTCGAACTCCATGCCACCAAGTAGCGGCTTGGGCATCAAGAAGCATTGACAAGCCCTTAAGAGCGTTGTCCTCAGTAATCATTACGCATTCCTTGTAAACCGATATCGCGTCAATGAATGCATCGCAATCGTCGCCTTTGTTACCCGAAAACCGAGACGCGCATTTTGAAAAATTCCCACTGAGTCCTGGTGCAGGTGAAAGGCTGGCAACTTCTCGATTTGTATTAGTGATAGTAGCAAGGAGTTGCTGCAACTGTTCGTTCGTCATGGTAACCGTAGTTGGATTCATTGTTTGTTGCGTATTTTCTTGATCAACGGACGTTTCTGCGACTTCTTGTGTCGAATATTCGCGATTGCGTAGCTTACGCGGCATCAACGTGAGATTAAGCACTTCCGAGAGTGTGAGCACGTTTGATGAAGATGCAGGAGCACGTGTGTGAATCACGTGTGCAAGTAATTATACGTAAGGCGCGAAGTAATGCCGTGATGCATGTAGCAATACAATAGGAATTAGAATTGTGGTACTTACAGTTCTAATTTATGCACTACACTTAGGTTTAATTGTAGTTTTCACTAAGGTTTGATTAAAGGTTCGGTGCACATTCTTTACAGTTCCAGCAATTTTGGATTTTGAAAAAAAAATGGCACTAAGTTGGGCGCCACTTATAACGCTGATATTAAAAATAACGACGTTATAATAATTTATTTTGAAGAAAACACTTACATAATTATTTATGGCGACGCATTGTTAATTATTTGACAACAACTCTTAAAACAAAAACAAAACAATATGGGACGCCTATCGTAGTTGGCGGGAACGCGGCCATGCCTTCTGCCATGACTTTGGCTCCTAGGGAACAACTGCCCTCGAATAATAGAAGTGGCGTTACAAATTAGTGGCCCCGAGCTGCACTCCGCACGGACCGACCACAGAATTCTTGCTGGGTTACCCCTACTCCTTAGACGGAGCCTACTACATTAGGGACTGCGGCGGCTAACCTATAAAGGTGTCCACCAAAACCACTAGCGTCATCTAACGACAGAGCATCTTGGAATTAACCCTACGAGTAGGCAGATGGAGACCTAGGACAACTAACCACTTTCCGTACCGCTACTCCTTGGTAGTTTGATACGGGCCATCTGATCATGTTAGTTTATTCTGCATACAGGGTGATTCCTATAGTACCTGCCACCGTTTGGGAGCGTATAGGGGGTGCCTAGGGGAGTATTTTGATATAGGACACTTGGGGTCGGAAATCTAAAATAAGGGCGCCAGAACCAAATTTATCTTCTGGAATTTCACGCCTGTATGTAGGCAACCCAACCGACCGACGTTTCGCGCGGAGCGATGCAGAGCGAGTTAGCGCGAGGAAGCGACATGGGAGGGAAGGAGGGAAAACGACAGTCAAAAGCAATAACGTTTACAAGTGTTCAACGTGGCCACCGTTGTTCTCAATGCACTTCCTACATCTAGCCAACTATTATTATACTATTGCCATAGTGTTTATTCACTTGATACGCGTCGTTGCAGACGGGATTTCGTGGGTTTAAACAAAATTCTGATCAAGTGTCAGCCACACATCGCCGCCTGAGATCGCTCCGTGTGCACCGCCGGCCGGTTGGGTTGCCTACCTACAGGCGCGAAATTCCAGAAGGTAAATTTGGCTCTGGCACCCTTATTTTAGATTTCCGACCCCAAGTATCCTATATCAAAATACTCCCCTACGCACCACCTACACGCTCCCAAACGGTGGCAGGTACTATAGGAATCACCCTGTATGTATGTTTTTTTAAACGCGAAAAGCAATCTTTTGACAACGTTTTACCTATATTCGTAGTGTTTAAATTTAAAGTTTCATTTAAATATCTTCATAAATAAAAAAATTAGCATTGGACCTGAGTCTAACCAAATTGTTGACACTGCGCAGGCGCAAAACCAAAAATATCGGCCCGCACGAGATTCTTGCACCAAGACCTTTCAAATGAGTCTCATTTTAGTTAGATTAGTCGTGTAGAAGTAGTACCTGTGACGGCCCGACGCGACCGACACACGGACGACAAAGTGTATCCAATAGCCGTTTTTTCAGTTTTACTAAAGTACGCTAGGAATGTGACAGGAGCACTATATCTGGGTCGCAAAATGAACACACACACAATTGATTGATTGACAATAACAAACATTTATCCCGAAACACATAAAAAAACATAAAATAAAATCCCAGAAAAAAAGACAGGCTATACAGCCTGTTTTTTTACAAAGATATCTCTGACGCAGGCGAACAATAACAAATAAATAACAAAAGTGCACCAGCATTCTCGGAATCCGCGCCGTTCGCGATAAACAACCTCCTTATCGCAAATTTGATCAGCTAATGTTTAACCCTAGGTTTAACCTTTATCTAAATTAAGTAAATGAACAGTACGATAAAACTACAACAAAAATTTAAGCAATTACAAAACAATTATAATGGAAAGCAACACTCACGTACTAAATTAAATAATACGGCATAATTCTGTGTTTCTTTTTCCTAACCTTTTTCCATTCCTGTCTGAATTTTTCTCCCCCCTTATCTAACTTTACTCCTAGTCATTCTGGAAAAATCCCAAACATTAAATAGGCTCATAGTTTCTCAGTTACTGAAATAGCTATTTCTACTTAACTAAATCACTCACATAATTAATCGCCACACTTTGTAAAGGCTCACTAGTTCTAGTCCTAATAGGGGCGCAAGTGAGGAAAAGGTAATTGTTGTAAATAGTACCTACTTTCAGATTTATTGCAAGAACTTAACCGTAAGTAATAACGTATTTGCTTTTACCCCAAAGTTAAACAATACAACAAAACAAACTCATTCACTTTAAGCTTTTCAGAGCCTTTAATAGTAGGTAGTAGAACATGAAACCACATAATTTTTACAAAAGTCTCTAAACTTCTGCCAGGTTAGGACCGGTTACTTAAACAAAGAAGAAAAGTACGAAATCGAACTTTGTAACGAATATTTGAACCAAAAAAGTTCTCCCTTGACGAATAAACGAAGAAATTCTACCTCAAATTAGGTACCAAAATACTGCGATGCTGCAGTGATCCGATTGCAGGACTTTTTTCGTTGACGTCGCACTCTGCCATTTCGCGTACCGATGGATACATGCGCCAAGTACCATACCGATGTGCTTACATTTTTACGTTCCATACGCTGGGGTTTCGTTATCATATATGTGTCAATATTGACCGATGCGCTTCCTGGTGTCAAAATTCATCAAAGAAAACGATTTCTGTTGAAATTTACTGGATCATATTTTAAACGAATATGCCAATGAGATAACAATGTCTACGATTTGATTGTTTCTAAAATTCGAACACCCCTCATGCTCAATTTCCGTCACTAAACACCCTAACCAATTTGTTCGAAAATCTCCAAAATCCATTAGGTCGTAATATGTCAATGCTAGTATAATGTCCACAATGAAATCCACACTTTAGATTAATTTAGAACCTCATAATCATAGACACCATCGCACAACCCGAATTTTGAATTTGGGTAGGTACAGCTTAAGACCTATTCTACTTTCTTTTAGGTCCTTGATCGAAAAAAGATTTTGGTTGACCTCCGGCAAATGTCATATTTTTTTAAAATTTCAAATACCCCCCCCCCCCCCCTTTCTCTGGATATCCCAAACTACAAAATATCCAATTTTTGCAATTTGGCGGACTTTAATTGTTCATAAATAAGGAGAATATTAGGTACATTACGAATTTCGCAAAAGCTGCTTCGTACGTTGTTTAATATAAACACATTACAATAATTAAATTACAATTAAACTAATTTCATTTAAAAACATCTTAAAAATCGAAAAAATGGGGAGACGGTGGCGAGCTCAAGTAGGCGGCGTTAAGAACGGCAAGGTGTTCAGCTTTAGCCCGAGCGACCTCGGGGGTGTCTTGTACCGGAACCGGGATATCGGTACCGACGGCGTGAACACCGTGAACTCCGGAGGTGAAGTGGGTTTGTCTCAAGATGCCGAGATCGTCGTAGTAGGAGAATCCGCCGTTGACATTGCCGAAAGCGTCGCGATCCTCAACTCTGGAGATGCCTGGAACTTGGAATCGGAGGTTGTAGTTTCCCAATGTGTCGTGACGGACCTCTACGCTGTCAATTGGCGCGGCAACGGCTGCGGCAAGGCAGATGGCTAGGACGATCTGGAAGAGAATTTGAAAATTAGTGACGGGTTTTCGTAAATGAATTGCGACGAACTCACCAAAGTATTCATTTTGTTTGAGTGTAGGGTTAGAACTGATTGATGGATGATAATATAGCGCTTTTATATATTTAAAGAAATGGAAAGTGTACGCACATATACAGCCGGGTATTTAATAGTCAACAAACAATAACATAAACAAATTAGTTACTTAACACATTTTTGGAATTTCACTTACTTGTAGTTCCTCGTTGGTAATTACTGATTTCATTATATTATGGTCACGTGATTAACATGCACAACCGCATTTTCCATTCTCTTATCATTGTACAATATTATGTGTTTGTGTAGCGTTGGCCATGATATTATGGTACCTAGGTGGCCATGGAAACAATACTTCACATTGGAGGTTATACAGGGTGAATACTTTCAAACCGAACATATAGGGCATTAACATGGGAAAACAGTTTTTCGCAGCTTGTTGCTCCCCAAATTAACTTAGAGGGTTCATAATGGCACCACTGAACCGAAGATTTTTTTCTTATCTAACTAAATGCTAATTAGTTAAGTTTTATTTGTAATTTCTCATTATTTTATCAAAAATTCGCAAAATAAAATGAACTCCGAAAATCATGTAGCCTTGACCCGTAGATTTAAACATCCTTAATTGTCAAATTGAAAAACTATCTGTCGTATTGTCGATATTGACGGAATAGAAGTTTGATTAAATTCCACGGAAAATAAATCTCGCACTCTGCGGTAACTACTGGGCAATCAAAAATGAGTTGCTGTCGAGTGGCCTTTGGAAGTTCAAGTTAAATACGAATTCCCATGTAAACAAAAATTTCAAAGGTGACTCGACATCAACACATATTTGATCGCATTGTATTACCGCCGTAAACGTTTTTTACAATAAACACTTTTTCCTCATTGGAATACATCTAAGTTTTGTAGTAAGTACAAATTAAAATTATTGACAGTTATCGTACCTTGTTTTCATGACTACCGTGATTTTTTAAACCCAAGTACCCATTTTGACTCACTAATTTCGCAAAATAATAATTAAATGGGCATCTAGACGTTAATAATTTGCAAATCATAAAACGCGAAAAAAAATCTTCTTTCCAATGATGCCATTATGAACTCTCTAAGTTAAATCGGGGAAGCAACTATCTGCGAAAAACTGTTTTCCCACGTTAATTCTCTATGTTCGGTTTGAAAGTACCTATTCACCCGGTATAATTTTAACAGACAAATGAGAAACCACCCTTTTTTACATTCATTTTAGGAATTCACCATCTTTTGCAAAAATTGATCTAGTAACAATTTATTATTTAAGAGATCATAGATTAGATTTTGGTTATTGTTTTGAAGCAAAAATATTTTTGAAAATAGATAATCTTAAGATTAAATAAAGTGGTTTACATAATTGTACTGTGCAATATTTACTATGGCAGTTTATATAATGTGTTGATATAAGCTCATCTCATCCTATATACAGAAATGCAGTGAATATTTAGGTGTAGGAGGCTTTTTCAAATATCTGTCTCAACGTAACAGAAACAAATTATCAGTTTGAACAATTCAGATCGAGGAAAATGACAGAATCGCCTCCCCTATCGTATTGCTAATGCGTTTCCGAATATTTCAAGGTGCGAACCAAACTGTGTATCGGTAAAGCAATTAAAGAAATGAAAAAAGATTGGAAAAACGCTAAATAAACAGTTAAAAGAATCTAACATTGTATTAATAATCTTCTAATTTTTTAATAGTCAGCAAAGCTATAAGTCTCATACTTACAAGAAACATGCCCACGCTTTAAGGTAAACGAAAGGTCTAAGAACACGTGGTATTAATCAAGTTGTACCAAATATTATGTACTTGCAAATACTCTTCTAACTGACTTGTGTGTTTTAAGGATATTGCGGTTCCCGGTTCTCCAATAGGACCTCATTGTTATAAACAGAACACCCTATATATTTTAAACTAAGAAGATTCAAAAATATATCACTAAATAATTTAAAAAAAACCAGTATTGATTCAGACAGATTTAGGGAAAATTGAAAGCTAAACAATATTTTTTCAATCTTCTTCTTGAATCTTTCTTTAATTTTTTGTCGTCAATTTTTGAATATCATACTCGGTGTGTATAAATTTTTGAAAAGAGAATCTTTTTAGATTAAAATATATAGGGTGCTCTATTTCAATGAGGTTATGTCCAACAACTTTTTACCTAACCCCGTATACTTATTTTGAAAACGGCTGATTATTCAAGAATCATTATAAAGAAGCTTAATAATCATTTCTCTGTGTCTCTTTTAACTAAGATGTGTAGAATCATTCTGAAATTTTTCCTATTTTCTTTTTATAGCACTATAATTTATCAAGGTGTCGAAAATGGAATACCCTGTACATTATCGAATTCAAGATACGTTAGGATACTGGATGCATGGTGGCGCGATCTAGTTAAATATACAATTTTTAAAAACAGTGATTCCAAATTAAAATCATGTTACTACTTTTACATTATCAACAACGCTTAAAAACTGTACGCTGACATAATATAAACAAGTATAAATTGTGAACAACTCATGTGCAGATAAAGCCCTTCGTCCGACAAATTTTTTAGATATTGGCACTTAAGTTCTCACAGCCGCCTTTTGAATAAAGTAAAGCTAATTCAATTTTAAGGAAAAACTTCCTATGAGCGTATTTCCTAAACGTTTCAATTTTTGAGACACAGGGTGGCACAGTTACAAAAATCAGATTTTTAATAATTAATATTAACAATTAAGATAATATTGTAGACATCTTCATTAAATTTGGTACATGTCTTCTATGCATCAAGACGCATTTTCTGATGTGCAAAAGATTTATTTTCTTTACCAGTGGCGTCCGTATGAATTTAGCATTGAATATTTTTTAAGAAAAAAAAACTACGCCACTGCTTTCTCTTAAAATAAAAATCATTTTTTAAATCCTCATTCATTTTTGATCAATTTTGATCTGGTTTTCTTTTTCTTTTTCTTGAAGTAAAATGATTTTAATTTTTTTTAACCGAATATCATGCGTCGGACAAAGAAAATCCAAAAGATCAAATTTGCTGAAAAATGGATGAAGATTTAAAACATAATTTTTATTTTACGAGGATGTCGTGGCGTAGTATATTGTTCTCTAAAAATATTCAATGGAAAAGCCATACGAACGCCACTGGTAAAGAAAATAAAAACTTTTGCACATCGGAAAATGCATCTTGATGCATAAAAGACATATACCAAATTTCATAAAGGTATCTACAATATTATCTCTGTTATTATTAAAAAAAACTGTTTTTTTTAACTCTACCACCTTGTATCTCAAAAATTAAAAGGTTAAGGACATACGTTCATAGGACATTGTTTTCTTAAAATGGGTTCAAGAATCGCCCCTTTAAATATTCGCATGTCTTTAAGGAACACCCTGTATATACGTATGCCAAATTTGAGACAATTTGGTCGTCGCATGTAAAACTTATGCAAGTTTCCATTTCCGTACCATTTCATTTCAAAAAATAATTCCCTAACATAATTAGCCGTCTGGTACACCTTTAAGGTATAAACTACCTATTGAAAAATACAGGGTGATTCCTATAGTACCTGCCACCGTTTGGGAGCGTATAGGGGGTGCCTAGGGGAGTATTTTGATATAGGACACTTGGGGTCGGAAATCTAAAATAAGGGCGCCAGAACCAAATTTATCTTCTGGAATTTCACGCCTGTATGTAGGCAACCCAACCGACCGACGTTTCGCGCGGAGCGATGCAGAGCGAGTTAGCGCGAGGAAGCGACATGGGAGGGAAGGAGGGAAAACGACAGTCAAAAGCAATAACGTTTACAAGTGTTCAACGTGGCCACCGTTGTTCTCAATGCACTTCCTACATCTAGCCAACTATTATTATACTATTGCCATAGTGTTTATTCACTTGATACGCGTCGTTGCAGACGGGATTTCGTGGGTTTAAACAAAATTCTGATCAAGTGTCAGCCACACATCGCCGCCTGAGATCGATCCGTGTGCACCGCCGGCCGATTGGGTTGCCTACCTACAGGCGCGAAATTCCAGAAGGTGAATTTGGCTCTGGTACCCTTATTTTAGATTTCCGACCCCAAGTGTCCTATATCAAAATACTCCCCTACGCACCACCTACACGCTCCCAAACGGTGGCAGGTACTATAGGAATCACCCTGTATATCAAAACTCTAGGACAATAATTGTCCTAGAGTTTTAATATTATTTGATATAATTATTCCTCTAAAAGTAGGTCAAAATCGAAGAAGTGGGGAAGTTCGGACGGATGGATGGACAAAACCGAATGACTAGCGTATTTTTTTCCGGCTAAACGGCTGAATTGATTGGTACCAAATTTGGTACACACATTATTAGACATCAAAGAAAGAGCTGCGAACCTTTTAAACAGAATCGCATATGCTTTTTTAAAGCTCTACCGTACACTTCTCATAGATTACTTTCAGCTGATGACAACCCATCAGTTGGAATGTCTTCGAACAAAGCACAACTTTCAGAATTCAATTGAATCCTCTCACAGCGGGTGGCCACAGGTTCATTTTAGAACTGAGGGCGTTTTAAAGCAGAACCTTTTACAATATGAAACCCTGTAAACTCTATTTTCCTTCCCTTACTGATAAACAATGTGTGGTTTTACACCACTTGGACATGTGCCTTTGTTACATGGGAATAAAGATATCGAGAGGCAAGTGGAGACATTTTGTCCCAAAATACTGTCATTAATATTACTATAAGGCACAGATCATTAACACCTTTCAATTACTATTAGAGGAAGACGAAGAAGTACTCAATATTTATCAAAAGCAGAAACGGGCGGTCACTGAGGCGGTCACAAAAATGTCCCAATCAATGGCATCGCAAAATGGTCCAGCAGAAAACAAAGTTTATCTGTCATAAATGTGAATCGTGTGCCACATTGAGCTACTAACAGTTATTCGGAAAACCCCTCAAAAATGGGTTTACAATTAGTATAAGTAGGTGCATAACACCGTACTTAATTTGTTTATGTTATTGTTTTTAAGCGTTGGTAACTGTTTGTATCAGTTCACTTTCCATTTTGTTAATTATATAAATAGCCAGTTGTCAGTTTTTCATATCACACACGTCCACAACTCGACAAACCAAACAGTACAATGAACACTTTGGTACACACTACCATTGTCGATTTTTCATTCTTGATTTACGAATTGTTTTTTTAGATCATCCTAGCTATCTGCCTTGCCGCAGCAGTTGCCGCGCCAATTGACACCGTAGAAGTCCGTCACGACACATTGGGAAACTACAACCTCCGATTCCAAGTTCCAGGCATCTCCAGAGTTGAGGATCGTGACGCTTTCGGCAATGTCAACGGCGGATTCTCCTACTACGACGATCTCGGCATCTTGAGACAAACCCACTTCACCTCCGGGGTTCACGGTGTTCACGCCGTCGGTACCGATATTCCAGTTCCGGTACAAGACACCCCCGAGGTTGCCCGGGCTAAAGCTGAACACCTTGCCGTTCTTAACGCCGCTTACTTGAGCTCGCCACCTTCTCCTCATTTCTTTGATTTTTAAGGTGTATTAAAGCCAAATTAGTTGAATTGTAATTTAATTGTATGTAGGTGCTCATTAAACATATTGTAAAACCAAATTCTTTAAACGTTTTTTTTTCCAACCCTAGGAATTGGTAATGACCTAGCATACGTCATATACTCAGACAGCATTGGAAAGGTGTAACGGATAGAAGAATTATCGGAAGAGTTAATGCTTCATTAAAATCAGTTAGATATGTGCTTTATTCTCATAAACAAAAACTACCTGTAATAAAAATCCTCAAAAGGGCGAATTTTAGATAAATAGACCTAACGTACTAACATCTTTCTTATCACTTAACCCCTCTGATACATCAGTCAATCCAATGGATGATATAATCGAAACAAACTTTATAAAATATTTAAAAACGGAAATAAAGAGTAGAATATTAAATGAAATATAGTGATTGACCATCTAATAAGCATTTCTAGAAGTGTGTCCTTCTTAAGATGTTTTAAACTGGAAGATTTTAAGTGAATTGGCAAGGAATTGAATATCTGGGGGAGTAACGTAGCCCAAAAATGTTTCCAAAAGCGGGGTTTGGACGATTAAATATACGTAGCGCAACCAGAAAGTAAAATTCCGTAATATTTATCCTGTCCGGATTTTTCTCCTTTTCCCCATCGACCAGTAAAAAGGCATGGAAAGCACCTTCTGTTTGGCCTTTCTACTGCTACCCAAATAAGATAGTCAATATCTTCCTCTGAACCTCGCTGTTAGTTCAATGTTTTTCCTTTCTTGCCTATGATATTTCGGCACCTCCTTCATTATCAGCTCATTGTACATTCTGGTTCCTCGTGAAATTTTCTCTCCTTGTTGCTGTACTTCCCATCGGTATCCGCTTTTGCTCTTATTCTCATCGATAAATATTCGTTCACCAATTCAGTTACTGTTCCTTTCCTTTCTAGTTCACTCCATTCCTTTCATCCCCACATCACCGTTCCATACATCAACGCCCCGCTCACCATTGTATTAAGAATGGAGTTTTTTATTTTGTACTGGTACTCTCTCCTATTCTCCACACCTGTCTCATCGCCACTTCTCGCTTTTTTTTAATTCCTTTATTTGTGCGTTTGGTCCATTATTTCGTTGTATCTGGTTTCCTAAATATTTAAATTCTTTCACTTCCTCTGCCCTTTCGGCCCTCCATTTCCATATTGACTCTCTTTTCGCTTCTTCCCTCCTACCACAAACTCATCATCTTCGATTTTTCGACATTTAATTCCATTTCTCTTTCTTTCGACTACTTCCCATCATTTCCTTCATCAGTTTTTCCTTTGTGCCTTTACTTATTACTGTGTCATCAGCGTAATTAAATAGGGTTGGGCTAGGTGGACATCCTTGTCTCAGTCGCTTTATTGTCCAGAACACTTCGGACCCCTTTCCTCATACCCGTACCCTACTTGTTTTCGCTCCATATAACACTTTTATCCTGTATTTAAATTATTATTATCCTCCATCATCTTCCATACCCTTTCCCTATATCCACTCTCTCAAAAGCTGCCATTAAATCCATCAAAAACGCTATCACTCTTTTGTTATAATAAAAAATAATTAGGGGAGAAAATATTTCAATAAAAAGAAATTAGCACTGAAATCCCTATGGTGCGTAAACCTACACCCTGTGTAAAATCGATTGTAGTAGAAAGAGACCTTTTATAAATCCCATGTGTGCTTCCTCTATCATTCTTTTCTCTTCTATTTCTCTTTCCATACCATTGAATATACTCTGCACGCAGCCACCATTAACGCGATTCTTCTATAAATTTCCATACAATCTTTGCGTGCTCCTTTCTTCAGTCCCTAATTGCTGCTCAATATCAGCTCCACTTGATGTCTCATCTTCTTCCACCTGCTCATTTCCAGCTTCCTCTATCATACCCTGCTTTCATTGTACTACTTTTATAAAGTGCTGCTTTCAGTAGTCTTGTATTTGTTGTTCTCCCCACATATTATTTTTTCCCTTCTCTGTTAATCATCTTCCAAAAGTCCTTCTCTGTTTTTATTTTCCATTCCTTTTCTCCTTATTACATTTATTCTCCTTGATCCACTAGTCTCCTTCTATAAGTCTCTGCGTTTTGTCCATAACTTTATGTTTTCTTGTTTTTGGATCTTTCCACTTCTTGATCTTCTTTATCTTTCCTTTTAGACTAATTATTTCTACCGGCTGGTGGTCCACGTCGATCCTTATTCCTACCTTAAAATGTTTTTATTGTTAGTATCTCGGAGGCACTAAACAAATATGTAATAAAATAATCCTCCAAAAGGAATAAGTTTCGCCCAAACCATTTCCTATTGCTCATTGATAATTTAAATCTGAAAATTTACATACCAACATAGTTTTTCATGAACTATCGGAAGGAGATATTACCATGATAGTTGCACTTCCGGCTTTATCGGATGTTGATGGCAACTTTCTTATTTTAAATAAAATACCTTGTATTTTATGGCATTTTTAGCGCATTTTCACAAAAATAAAAAAAATGCGCTATTGTGGCCACTTTGTCCGTCCGTCCGTCCGTCCGCTTAAGAGCAAATGTTCTACTTTTTTCGCTATTTGGTTCGTTATGGTGTCGAGGCTTGCACCAAGGAAGGAATTTTTTCTGCGTTTATTGCTAAAAAAGTTATTGTAAAAAAACCAACAAACCGTTTTTTACATGTTCCATAATTTTACACTTTTGCCGTTTATTAACAATCCTAGAGATCGTTTATAATTTTGTATTTCTGTCTGTCATCTGTCTGTTGGTCTGTCCGTCTGTTCCTTTGTCTGTCTGTCCCTCTATCTGTCCGTGTGAACGATAACTTTCTTTAGAAATGTCCGATCGCTTTTGCATCTCCGTTAGTTATTAACTGAATTGCATGAAATTCAATATGGGCATAGCTTTAGCCATATAATACGCAATGCCCAAAGTTGAGTCGAATCGATTCAAAATTCACAGTGCCCTTTTCGCATCTCGACCATTTATAAACCGAATTGCAAACTTTTTTATTTATAAAAGTATTTGAATGAAATTTGATACATAGGCACTTGGAATAAATGAAAATCTAACGCCAGTTTCAAAATTTGGTTTTGCACATGCACAGTGTCAACTTTTTTATTTATGGAAGAATTGAAACGAAATTTGATACATAGGCACTTGGAATAAAGGAAAATTAAACGCCAGTTTCAAAATTTTATTTTGCCCATGCGCAGTGCCAACTTTTTTATCTATGGAAGCAGTTAAGTGAAATTTGATACTTAGGCGCTTGGAACAAAGGAAAATCTAACATTAGTTTTAAAATTTAGGTGTGCGCATGCGCAGTTCCAACTTCTTATTTAGAAAAGCATTGAAATGAAATTCTTCTTATAAACTGAAATTGAAGTAGCACGTCAAAGATGGATTGCCCATGTGCGACGCTATCTTTCATATTTGTGGCCGGATTTTTACGATTTTAACAGAATCTTACAAATGGGAAATGAATGCAAGTGGAAATGCGCTTTATGTAAATCGTTTACGATTACTTTGTAACTTGAAATCTACCTGCAAATTTACGTCGTTTGATGCCACATTTCCCTGTACTCAGCATCAAAGGTTTTCAAGGTATTCAAGATTTTTCAAAATTGGCTATCTGAAAATATGTCTATTAAATTTAATTGTTATTTTCGAGGTTATTTTTCTGAATTCCTATATATTTATCTACGTGTCAATGGTGTTTGTTGCATGAACTTGGACTTGCTTTTCCTCCTCGTTTTCAGAATAAGATTTACTCATAATTGGGGTGTTCATTTTTCGAGTGGCACTATGAGAATCTCGCTTATCTTAAAAGACAGAAAGATGGGTAAATGAGAGCGAATTTTCGTGCTAAATAATAATTTGAAAAAAAAATTGGAATATTTTCAATAGTTTTTAAACTATCGCAAAAAAATCGCACTAGCCATTCCAACAAAGCCGTTATTGCGAGATTTTTTATGGAGAATTCGAATATGGCATCCCGTTTTTAATCATTTTCAAGATGAACATGTGGCAACCTTATTATTTCTTATGGATTCCATTTTGGATTTTGACATTTTGGGATTACGTCTGTTTTTCTCTTTTCAACGATGGCGATTCAGTATCACAGTTTTCCTAAAAATAGATACAATTTTTCACTTTTTGCTTTGACATGGAATTGATGAGGATTGTCAACTGACCAGTAATATTAATTGTCGCGATTAAACATTGCAACTTTGGTAAATTAACTCTCATCAGATCATGCGATGTTATTATGGACATTTGGTTTTCTAAATCTGTTATTTACAAAAAGCTATCCGTCGTTCATGATTTCCTGGATTGAAGCGTTTGAGAAATATCAACTGCTCAAGGCCGATAGTTGTGTTTTTTCAGAGTTCACCAGACAACTTGGGGTAAAGGCAAAATCAGCTGGGATGCAACATCTCTTCAGGAAACATATTCTTTCCCTTGTTTTTCCCTTAACTTATGGACTATAGCATGTGGTCCAATTATTAATGAGTCTGCCTTGTTTATGAACCCCTAGACAATTTGTTCCACATCCATCTTCTCAAAAAATAGTATTGTGGTGAGAAATGTGACAAAGTGTCTTTCCTGACGTCTTCTATGTGTGTTTGCGTGATTTCTAATTTCTCTAAAGAGTCTGGTGGCCTTTCTGCGAGAGGTGTCTTTCATGTTTAGCTTTTATGCAAATTTCGGAAGAGAAATCTTCGTTTTCTCTAAATTCTCTTCCATTCGCAATGGTACGAAGATTGTTTAAATATCCCAGTTGCCTGATGTTTATATTTCTTGTGCCAGTAAATGCTGACAGAGTACCAGCGTCGACCTGCATCTCCTTCCTCTAATGAGTATTGAGTAAACCACTATCTTTTTTTTTTACAGAAACACAATTTGGTCTACTACTGGCACTAAACACTATACTTTTACCATGTATACCTGATAGTTCTGGTAAGACTTGCATAAGTATGGATCTGTATAGTTCATTGCATTGATGTGTACTTTTTGACTTGTGAATGACACACAGATGGACAGACGCCAAGTATATATTCAGCCCTGTGGTGAT